TTTTATTGAATAATTTTTTTAAATAAATATTTTCAGGAACATAAAAAGAACCGAAAAACAATCGTTGTCATTGTAAATCTTTTGTAACATTTGCTGCACTACATTTATGTCGGTAGATTTTCATTTTTCAGCCTTTATTTATAATGTTTAATCAAAATTCTGAGGAAGTTTGGGATTATTTTAAAGAGGCAACAACTGTTGCAAAATTCTGAGGAAGTTTGGGATTATTTTAAAGAGGCAACAACTGTTGCAAAATTAGTTTCTGAGAATGGTTTCACATAAATGAAATGACAAAAAAGTTCTTTTATAGAATAATCTATTTCTTGTAAAAGGTATAACTTTCCCAAAATGCGTCAAAAGTAATAAATTTAGTGATTTCTTGTCTTAAGGAACAAAAAGCATTAAAATTTAATTCATAAAGCAAATAACTAAACAGTATTGAAAGAATAAACCTAACTCCCACTATGCGGCCAATAACAAACAACATTTCAGTGTTAAAATCCATTGTAATTTAAATGTAAAAGGTAGGTGTTCAAAAAATTGTCAATTATTATTTAAAAGAATAAAGAATCATTTATGTAAAACATTTTGTTGCATCAACAACTCGCGAGGTTAGAATTGTTTTGTTTTATCTCCACTTTTTGAAAAAAAACAAGTTATTGATTGTTATGTTATTGAGTGTTATGTACCTCAAATTAATGTTGTTCTACTATATTGAAACCGAAGTTATAACCAAAAAAGTTGCTGAGAAAACATAAATAAGAAAAATCTTTTTATATGCTGCCTCCTAAAGTTTTTATTTTTAAAATCGTTTTATCTCAAAATTCGAAAATAGTAGATAGAACAAAATCAATCTAACCTCGCGAAAAGTGAAAAACTGACTTTTTAAAAAAATATTTTACAAATTTTATTTTAATTTATTGATTAGGTTATTTTAAAAATAGGTAATTTTAAAAAGTGTTTAACAAAATTTTGTAAATAAATATATGGTAATGAGATTATTTTGAAGTTTTAGAACCAGTATCAAAAAACGACTTAAATAAAGCTATATACAATGAACTATTAGTTGAAAAAAACCACCGAATTATTCTTCGGCAAAATTGCAAACAAGTCATAAAAAGATTCGAAATGTCGCAGAATTTTTTAAACGTTTACCCATAAAAAATAGCATTACACAGCGATATGTAAAATAAGTATTTAAAATTAGTTTAACAGATATTAAAACCATATGGAATTCTCTTGGGGCAAAAGATTTATCAAGCTATATAAAAGTCAGTCGTATTGAATTAAATGCTATTGACAAAATTCAAGTAAAATAATTTGAATATTTTTATAGATATGATAGCACTTCTGTCTTCTATAAAAATTATTGTTAAAGAACTGAGCAAAAACGATGCCACAATTCAAATGTCCAAAATGATTGTCATAATTTGTTATATATTAGTATTGAATTTAATGCTGCTTGAGTTACTCATTCGTTCGTGTTTGACACGGAACTCATGGCAGCCATTACACCCAAGTTAATGACGAGAAAGAGTCGCAGCACTTTTTTTTTTAAGAAAATGTGAACGAAAATGTTAGCAAATGTCAAACTTATGTCGAAACATCAAATTTTTTTATGTTTAAAATTATATCAAGTTTTACTTTTACTTGAAGTTTGCATTGCGGCAAAATCTACTTAATTTTAATTTATAGCATTTATTTGCCGTTTTACAAAGTTGCATAATTTTGCATAATAAAGAATGTTAAAACAAAATATATTGTATGCCTAAGTGGACGAACTGGTTAGCTTGCAGCGCTTCCGATGCGCATCGCGGGAGTTTAAATCTTCAAATTTAATATTTAGAAAATTTTAAAGTCTTTTAAAATTTTCTAAAATACAAAATAAAACATTTTTAAAGTTCTCTAGACATTAATAAATTATAATCAATGAAAAAGAGAGAATTTCAAAAAAGTTTAAAATTTCTAAAAACATCAAAACATCGGGAGAATATTGACTTTTTTAGTGATACTCAAAAAGTACATTAATGACTTAATATGTTGTTAATGTGCTTTGGTTATTAGTTAAGTCTGCGCAACATACATTAAAGAGAAAAGTTTTCTTTCTTAAAGGAAAAATGATTTTATAAACAAACTTAAAAGAAACTTAATAAAAAAAAATATTAATAAGCCCGTCCTTGTTTTTTTATAAAAGTTTACGATTTTACAATAAGGATTTATAAAGTATTGAGCATTAATTGTTAAGTTGAAACAAAAATTTTAATTTTTTCATTTGTTACCAATTACTAAAAGTATTAAAATTAAACGATTGCATAAAGAATTAGTATAAAAACAGTCGGTGTGGAATAGAGTTGACCATGACCCATATTATACACGTTGTGGTCCATTTTTCTACATATGTTTTTAAGTCCAATTCCAAATGTTTTTTAAACTTTTTATATTAATTGAAATTAATCAACACATTTCAAGCGGGTAATTTCATGCGGTTATTCTGAATATTATTTAGACGGCTGCTAATATACAAACCGCGTAAAAATAGCGGTTCGTGCAACGGCTACCAAAGCTTAAAATTATTTTTTTGTGGACATGCTAGTGTTTCTAATTCGTAAATTGGACTTGTGTAACCTGGACACATAAAGTAAAATAAAATTTAAATATAAGTGAGAAAGAAAAACTTTATATAAATGACATCATTGAATCAAAAGTTTTTATTGACTTTTTAAAAGAACAACCATTTTCAAAAATATTATTTTTTTAAATGGGTATCTGGGTACCGACCCGTTTGTTTGACGTTTACCTGGGCAGCCGTTTTCATATTTTTCTCGACAGTTCTAATTAAAATATACACATACATAGAAAACATATCGTGAGAATTTCGACATCCTCTAGAAGCCATTATGAGAAGAGCAGAACGAACTCAGTAGGCACAAACACAGAATGCGTATTAGATACGCGATTAATTTTTTTTTTAATTTTTTTTTTATTATATATATTTTGCTGTTCATTTAATAAAAATATATAATTTCAAAGAAACGTTTACATAAAAAAAAGTGGATTTTAAAAAACAGACCGGAGCTCAAAGAAGATACGGATGAGTAAAATCTTTTCATAACGCTCCTATGTGGATTTACTCTTTAAAAATAAAATAAGATTGTTAAAATACTAAGTACAATCCCAATATAATAAAAAAAGCTTTCATAAAATTTCCATTAAATCAAGAAAGTCAATAGTGTCAATACAATTTTAGCTATATTCATTGAAATATACAAATATACTGACAAATATATATATATATATATATATATATATATATATATAATATATATATATATATATATATATATATATATATATATATATATAATATATATATATATATATATATATATATATATATATATATATATATATATATATATATATATATATATATATATATATATATATGTATGTATATATATATATATATATATATATATATGTATATATATATATATATATATATATATATATATATATATATATATATATATATATATATATATATATATATATATATATATATATATATATATATATGTATAAGGCGTGGGTTCAGGAATTTGTAACTGTTTGGCCAAATCTAGGTTCAATGCTGGCGTAAGGATCTGTTTTTCTTTAGATGAGTGATGGGGGGAATGGGGTTTTTTAGGGATCAAAACAATCAAAAACGGTCAAAAAATTGATTAACTTTTGACCCTAAAATGTCAAAATTTGCTATATTTAAAATTACCGAATACAATTCAATATTGGCCATTGGGGAAGAAGCGGCGACATCACCCTATTTCTTTGTTTAAGATAAGCTACTTTTTTTTTGGTTTTTTCTCTGGGAAGAACCGATGGTAATCCCACGGACTCCATATGTATCATTTTTTCCAACTTTAATACGTCGTGAGAATAATTTATTGGTTTCCTTTTTTACTTAACCACTCCTAAGAATTTTCATTTTCACGATTGTGGCTATAAACTTTGTTGATTCGTCGGAGACAAAACACCTGTGATGTTTTGTCTCCAACGAGTTTTTATATGAGGAATCAAAGACAGCCTTCAGAGATCACTTATATTATATATATAGACTTGCAAAAATAATATCATACTTTAATCTTACCAAATAGAAATAACTTTCTGCTTGAATAAAAAAAAAAAACTTGATTTTGATATCTCTTGTTAGAAATAAACTCTCTAAACAATTGTGTAATTCAAAAACGTAAATATTTTTAAAATCATAACAGATAAAATACTTGAAAGAATTATAGGTAAAAAAATGTCATGTATGAGTATATATTCTAGTAAACATATACTAGTAAACCAGATATTTCACTTTTTACCTGTTATTGAAGTCTATTTACTATGTGTCTGTTCGACACTCTTCTGCTTATGCATAGCTTTGCTAAACAGTCGAGTCAATTTTTTGATTATTTTGTATTGTTTTTAGATATTCAATTAATAGTAAAGTTATTTAAAATGTTGCTTTAGCTGTTTAGTTTATAAATTAGACATAACACTTGTCTTACTAACTTAACAAAGTGCACCAACGAGAAGGTAAATCATAGGACTTTGCTCTCCATTCGTAAACTATCGTGTTGCTTAAAATTAGCCCTCCATTCTGGATTTTTCCTTTTCTTAATAGGCAATTTAAGTAAAATATTTCTAAGGTTAACCTTCCATTTCTGGATCTTTTTTTTTGATAGGCAGTTATGCACAAATATTTTTTATAAAGTTTTATAATTTTTTTTACTTTATTTTTTTTTTTTTTTTGCCTTTATAAATAAAAATACAAAACAAAATAATTCAACAAATAAATATAAATAAAAAGTAATAACCAAAAAATAAAAGTAACAACCTATATCACCTTAAAACGCAGCATTAAGAATTAATACAAATAGCAAATGAAATATAAGTTTTGCAGTTTATAAAAAAAAAAATTTAAACAGTAAATAATAATAATTCACCTATAAAAA